ATAAAGCTATATAGAATTTTTATATAAATTATATTTAAAAATTCTATATAAATCTACAAACCCAATATAGATTTATATAATTATAAATTTTATATAAGTCTAAATTTATATGTAATTATATAAAATTTTTAATAATAGTTATTTAAAATTTTATATAAACTTAATAAAATATAATTTTATATAAAATTTATTTAGATTATATATAAATTTTTAAATAAAATATAAATAAAAATTTACATAAAATATAATTTTATATAAAATTTATTTAGATTATATATAAAATTTAATTAATATAGAATTTACATAAATTTTACAAAATTTTTAAATAAATTTTATATAGAATTTATATAAAGATTACACGATTTTTAAGTATACTGTAAATAAAATCATTGCATACATATTTATATAGTATTTACTGTATATAAAAATTTATATAATTTTTAAATAGATTGTAAATAAAATATTGCATAGGCACGTATATATTTATTGTCTATACCTCTTACATAATTTTTAGATAAATTACTATATACATATGTATAATATTTATTCTATCACGATCATGCAGTAATTGCTTTGAATCTCGGTTTTATTCACTATCCTCACTATCAGAAGTGCCTGAATCCCCGTAATCCTTTTCAGCATTATTTTCGATAGTATTATGCTGTTATAAATTAAGAAAATAATTAAAAGTTATAATTAAGTATGTATCACACATATTACCAAGAAGACCGAGAAGGAAACGTCTTGTTTTCTGATGTCATTTTCCATACAGATTATTTAAAATTTGATCTAGCATAACACAATTGACGATCGAATCCGGTCACATCCAAATTTGAACTCGAAAAATCGAATGCCCGATGTATTTATAACCAAATTAAGGGCGGAGCATGCAGATTTCAGGATGGTGAGTCAGTGGAATTTATGTTAAAAAAGGAAGAAAGAAAAAACGTTAGTAAGGCAGCAAAGACAAAAAAATAACTGGCAAATAGACTAACCCGGTGGAATCGAGGAACAATTGGTAATAAAAATGGCGAGAAAAAAATTTGCAAAACCTAAAATAGAATAGATAGTAAAAAAAAAAAAATATATATATACAAAACAGCAACAAATGATTAATAAAAAAAACACCTATCTTTCGCAACTCTTAATAGTTAGAAAGATTCAAAGTTTCCATACAAAAATTAGAAAGCCGTTAGTAGCTATTAGATGAAACCCAACTTAAAAATAGTAAGCACAATACTCGCCTAAATTATATTTTCACGCCTTTAATAGAGAGTACCTAGGAATCCTACAATCTTACAACTTACCAAATGCTAACACTAATCTTGTGATGTCGGGTAAATAACTATAAGGAAATGACTGTCAGAAAAATAAGCGGCTACCCACCAAGAATGATTTCAATTTTCTTGTTAAATATTTTTCGTCGAATTTAATTTTAACTATTTCAGGATTAAACAAATTGTGCAAGATAGCCCGTGTTATAGCATATTAGTTCCTTGTAAGTTGTCGGCCAAAAACTTTCTTGGCGACCATCTGATGATACGTCTTATCCTCCTCTTCGATTATAGTGTTCAGATTTTCGAAACACCATTGTACCTCTTCGCTTGATTTCCAAGAAATAATTTCAGCTTCAGAATTTTCTGAATTGACAGCTTGTGAAATCTTATTTTTAAAGACATGCTCAAACACAGCACGACGAAAAGACCCGAATAAAGCTCTACGGTATTTGCATGATTCAGTACCGATCTATACTTAAAATTTAATTAAGTTATATAATTATGAAACTTATGTACTAAACTATTGTTATTTACCGAATTTTCAATCTTGCTATACAATGCCTCCCATCTAGAACTTTTTTTGTACCGTTCCATTTTGTCTGGGCAAAGATCTTCAAGCTCTTTCCGAATATATTCTTCATAAATTTTGTCATTAGGATAAAGCCAATTATCTATAGATAGCTTAATACCTTGCGTCGCTCCCTTCTACAAAGTTTTTTATTACTTTTCTTTAAATTAAATTGATTGATTATACAAATCCGTAATTACATACCTTATTATGATTGATAACGTATTGAAATAAATGATAAGTATAATTTAAAAAAGAACGATAATAAAAATGAGTGCCGTCGAATGAAAATCAGATTTCAATTATATAAATATATGATTGAAATCTGTTTTTCATTTGACGGCACTAAAATATTTTATATACCTGCCACCATTCATAACTATTGTCTTTTAGATTCGACTTTAAATTTTCATGCGAAGATTGTAAAACCTTGATGTCGCTGGAGAGCCGAGTAACCGTAGTCTCCAAAGCTTCTTGCTTTTCCATAATTGAGGTATTTTGCGTTAATATTCTATTAGTGATTTCTAGTAACGTATTTATTGCTTTGTCTTCTTTGTTTAAAGAAGCTAATTGATTTAATAGTTAGTAGTTGTGCTTATGAAAGATAATCAAAAATTTATACATTTCTAAAACTAACCCTAATTTGTATCAGCAGACGATATTTCTGGTGTATTATTTAAGATTTCGTTAAGTGGAGACCTAGGTGGGCTTTCATCAATTTCATAAAGAGCCGGCAGAGAACGAAAAGAATCTCGGAAACCATCGCTGTCATTATTATCAACATTATTATCAACATTGTTATCAACATTTTCAACATGATTTTTTTTGGACTTCGACGATGTTTTAATTCTTTGGGGGCGTTGGCTGGCGCGTCTACTTGCATTTTGTTGTTTTTTCGTAGTGGAGGTTAAGGAGCCGGCTCTTAATGCATCTAACGCCTGAAAAAAAATATATATATATATAAGCTCAAAATTCTTATGAATGTTTAAAGGTCTAGTATTTATTGGTTACCGAGGCAACTTCATTCTGTTCTGAGCCAAGTTTTCGTTTTCTACTTTTAGGAGGCATAATGACAATGTAAAAAGAAAACGCTTCTTGGGAAAGTTCAGAAAGTTATCGATAACTGCCTTTACTAGTTTTTGAAATAAGAATTTTTTACTGAAAAGGTTTCTTGAAAGAGTTTAAAGTTGTCGATCACTGCCTTTACGAATTTTTGAATTAGGAATTTTTACTTAATAAAGGAAAAAATAAAACTGTAACGTTGAGTGATCGATCTAATTAACAAAATCAGGATCGATTGCATGCCAAACTTATGTTAAATTGGCCTTTATAAACAATGCAATCATAATCATTTTATAAAAAAAATCAGAGACACGGACTTTGTGATCTAGTGTGATTTGATGCGATTTAAATTCGTTGAGAGCTATCATTTACACAACGATTAATATATAATTATGTGATTTTATATGATTTAATGTAGTTTGTCAAGAATCGTACTAAAACAAATCGCATAATTTCCGTCATAGGATAGAGATCACACGATTTTGCAAAGCGCAATAATCAATTACAGAAAAAAATGCAATTCGTATACATCAAGAAAGTAATCATTTTTAAATCATTTTTATTATGCATAATGGTTACTTTCTTGATGCATCATGTCTAAATTTTAAGCAACAAAATTTCTGCTCTAATATATGTTACTTTGTTTCTAGTTTAATTTAATATGCAATTACGTATTTATGCAATTACGTATTTATGCAATTAAGTATTTATATAATTACGTATTTATGTAATTCTAATTTATATAATTCTAAATTCATTAAATGCTCAAAGTTTATTTTAAATCTATTTTAATTTTTTCCATATTCGTATGTTGTATTTGCAAAAAAGGATTTGGCCGTCTAACGAGCCTCATAAATCATAAAAAAGCCTACAAAACCTGCTATCAAATCGAAGAGTAATCCAGTACTGAGACTAGCAATAGTACAGATGAGAGCACGGACAGTTATATTTCTGATAAGTCAGAAATAATAAGCAGGCAGTATAATAAAAAGGTTGTTACCCTCAATAATTACTCAATATTTGAACGTCAAGATATTTTTGACGAGTCTTACCTGGTAGCATCTGATACACAAAAGATTAATCCTGATTCTGATCCAACGTTCGATAACCAGCAAACCGCCAGTGAATCAGATTCATTTAACGACCAGGAAACCGTCAGTGAATCTAATTCTGGTTCCATGTTCGATGTCCAGAAAACTGTTAGCGAGTCTGAATCAATGTTTGATGATGAGTCTGTCTCGTTTTCTGATGACCAAATGACTGATATTGAGTGCGTCCAAATGTTTGATAAAGAGAATGATGATGAATCTGACCAAATTCTTGAGGAGGATATACTAAAGGATTATGAAGAGACTATAGATGAATTCTGGAGTGATGATAACGAACATGACAATGTGAACTTTCCAAATGTTATATATCGAGATTTTGTGGATATAGGAAGTATTATATATGTATATATATTTGTTTGTGTAAGATTAGATATTATAATCTAAATGATACTTATTACCAATATTAGGTAATCCGACATCAACTTTCTTATACAACCGGCGATGCTGTATTAAAGTTTGTAAAAAAATACGGTCAGATTCCAAAAAAAACTTTGCCTCGATCAACTAAAGAAGGCCTTCATTTTTTGGATACCTTAGAAAAAAATTATATCAAATTTTTTTCTACACCCGTTGAGAAAATCAGAGGTCAAGAGTATTCATTTAAGTATCGTCCAATAATTTCAGTGGTGAAAGAAATTCTCCAGGATCAAGAAATCGCGTTGAATTGTGTTTTTGATTATCAGAAGATTTATGTATCAAAAGAGGCATGTAAAATTCGATTTTTACTAAATTTCGATATATATATATATAAGTTAGAAGGGTAACCACTTTGTCATATGTGGTTGTGATGTTTAATATTTGAATTGATAAATTTTATATGAAAAAATATCATACATGTATTTAAGTTGTCTTGGTTTTTATAACGAGAATTTTAAATAGACCCTGCTGGCTTTTTTTTTCTAATTTCATTCATAAAATTGTCAAGTTTTGACCCGGCCGAGTTATGAAAACCAAATAATAAATTTTGCATGACTTAATATATAATTAAATATTATATTAGATAACTTGCTAAGTATTATATTTCTAATTTTTAGGGACATCGAGAAAGAATATACTCTGAATTTTATAATTGTAATTGGTGGTGTCGTGTACAGCAACTTATTCCAACTGGTCATAAGGTTTTAGCTATAATCTTATACTCAGATGCGACTACGCTTGATCGTTTAGGAAAAAACTCGCGTCATCCAATATTTATTAGCTTAGGCAATATCCCAACAAATCTTCGTAACAAGGCTAAAGCCAAGGCACTCGTTGGTTTTATACCAACATTAGAGGGTACTATGGAGGAACGCAAAACACCAGAATTTAGACAGTTGATCCGGTCAACCTTTCACAAATGCATAAATATACTCATGGAGCCGCTACGTTTACAGTATCGTTCCGGAATATCACTAAAAGTTAATTCAAATAATTCCAAATTTAATATGGTACTAGCCAGTATTATTGGAGACTGGCCTGAAAACTGTAAATCGTGCTTAACTTATAACGGAGCAAGTTGTGCATACCCATGTCATACCTGTCTTGTGAAAAAGGATGAACTCAATGCAATCAAAATTACCGCAAGTCGCAAAATTACTCGTATAGAAGATCAAATGCGACAAATCATTGCAGTTGGACAATGAGAATACTATTCAATACACAAAGAAACAAATAGTTTCTGGAATCACCTGTAAGTAGTTTCTAATTACAATTATGGTAGCTTATACTAAAATCGGCTTATACTAAAATTTGCAGTCTATAATATCTACTAAAATTTATACACGTTTTTTTAACACTTCCCAAAACCTTAACCTAACTGTAAAAAAAAAAATTACAAAAAAAGTTCTAGAAAATTTTAACTTCATAATAAAATAGAGTATAAGCTGTTACTATAATTTTAAATTCTGATCTCTCAAAATCTATTTTAACATACAATTAATGTTTGGATATTATAGAGGTTTTAATGTCTATACAGCAATGGTTCCCGAGCGAATGCACCATTTAGATCTCGGACTCTTCCCGTATATGGTTAAATATACACGAGATCTTCTAAAAACTTATGGTGGAAGTACTCTCATTAATAAAATGGATCTAAGATTCGGATTGATACCACGTTATTCAGGATTAAAAGTATTCAGTTCTGGGCTTGCAGACCTTGCTCTATTCATGGCTTCTGAGTACAAACATATGATGAAAATTATGCCCTTTGTGCTTGAAGGTCTTATTGAAGAAAAAAAGAATGAGTCACTTATACGGATGTTTATCAATTGGAATAAAATGTATCATCAATCAAGGCAATATAAGTTTACGCAATCCGACCTTCTTCAATTTGAGGTTGGTAATTTTTGTTTATATTACTAATATTAATTCTATAATGCAAAACGGAAATTCGCTTATATTGGTTATTCATTTCTATTAAACAACATTACACAAGTTTTTTTATATCCTTTACAATAGAAAAAGTGAACCTAAATAAACAAAGTTTTTTCATAATTAAAATTTACAAGGTTATAATTTGAAAACATATTTTTTATTATAATTAGTTGGAATCGAATAGGATCGAGTATTCCACCAACTTTGATTAGAGTACTTAATATGATGTCATTACGTCAAGTTGTTAGCGTTTAAATAAATAATATAAACCAAAAAAAAGTCTAGGACTTCACGTGAGCAAGGCATTGTCATGAACAATAATAAAAATTATCATGTACACAAAGAATTGCAAGTGTAACAGTAGCGACAATACAAAAAATTAATCTTTAGTTTTAGGCAATCAAATTACCAATGATAAGCAATAAAAACGAATTTCTGTTATTTTATTCTATTACAATTATGTTAACTAAGTAGGTCTATAATTTTATAGATATCGATTCGAACATGGGCGAAAAATTTCATTGATATTCTCGGACCATTTACTAAGAGAGAATATCAGTTTCCAAAATTTCACCATTGGATACACCACACCATTGAAACAATCAAAGAATACGGAAATTTAAATGGATCAAGTGCTGAAACATATGAATCACTCCACAAACAATATATTAAAGTTCCATATAGAATGTCTAACAAACGTAATATCGATACACAGATTTTGCAAAAGGTTTTTTTTATTTTATTTCTTGTGCCATTAATTAATTTTTATTAATACGGTAATGCAATCTTTTGTAGGTAACACGAACTCTCACGCTCAAAAATATTTACGAGCATATTTTATTACAAAATGGGCGATCCAAACCTAAGAAAGATACAGGAAAATTCGGAAACCCATATTTTTCTATCCCACAACATCTTCTGAAATCGCTCATCGATATATATAAGCATGATGAAGAATGTACA